GATATTAGCACAGACTTTCCTTTTTAATGAACTAAGAGACACTAACAGTGTAACTAACATGCATTTTTTTTCTTTTTTTCCTACTGTCCTTTCCCTTTCACCCATCCTAGTTCCTTTTTCCTTTCGAACAATTTCTTCCCATTTCACAATAGTTTTTGTACATTTTAAATCTTATTTACTCTTTCAGTTTCTCACACCAGGGAGACAATGTGATGTTTACACATGTGAATCTGATTTATTTCATTTATGAGTATGGTCTCAAGTCATTTACCTATAAAAGTCTCAAGTTAATCCTTCTTTATGGCTCAGTAGTACTCCATTGTATAAAAAGACCACATCTTTTTTATCCATTCCTTGGTTGATGGGCATTTAGGTTCTTTCCAAGATTTACGTATTACAAGTTGTGCTGCTATAAACATGGATGCACATACATCACTGCAGTATGATCTTTTCAGTTCTTCCGAGAAGATACCCAGAATGGATACTGCTGGGTCAAATGGGCCCTCTAATCCTAGCTTTTTGAGGAATCTCCACACTGATTTTCACTGTGGCTGTACCAGTCTACACTCGCATCCAACAGTGGAGAAAGGTTCCTTTTTCCCCACAGCCCTTTCAGCATTTGTTATTGGTTGATTTCTTGATGGTAGGCATTCTTTCTGGGGTGAGGTGGAATCTCAGTGTTGTTTTAATTTCCATCTTGAATGACCAGTTACGTTGAACATTGTTTCATATATGTATTTGCCATTCGTATTTCTTCATCTGAGAACTGTGTATTCATCTCAGATGCCCATTTTTTGATTGAGTCTTTGAATTTGGGAGGGCTGATTTTTTTCAGTTCTTTATATATTCTAGGTAGAAGTCTTTTGTTTGAGCGACAGTGGCTAAAATTTTTTCCCACTCTGGTTGCCTCTTCACTCTCTGGTGATTTCTTTTGCTGTGCAAAAGCTTTTTGATAAGATGAGATCCCAGTTGGTGATTCTTTGAAGTTGAAGTGGTAAATTTAATGCTATATATATTTTACCACAACTTTTAAATTTATTAAATTTTTATTTACTTAATTGAGCCCAGAGCCTGGCACATGCTAAGCTTATGCTCTGCCGGTGAACTAGATATGCCTCTGGCCCCTTTACTACAATTTTTTTTAAAAACCCGTAGAATATAGTAGACACTTGTATATGTTAATTTTTCTCTTACCTTTAGAAACTAGGTTTTCTTTTAATTTTCAAAAAATATCAGGCCTGGCGCTGTGCTGTGTACCTTAACGCCTACCTACTTGGGAGGCAGAGGCGTGGGAAAGACTGGCTGAGTTCCAGCGTTCAAGGCCAGCTGTGGCAGCATAGTGAGTTTCCATCTCAAAAGAAAAAGAGAGAATCAAGTTGTGGAGCTGGGGATTTGATATAAAACTATGTTAAGTTGTATTCATTACAATAACATTTATGCCGGGCCTGGTGGTGCACAGCTATGTCCCAGCACTCGGGAAGCCCAGAGGCCAAGGCAGGAGGATCGATGTGAATTCGAGGCCAGCCTGAAGTGCAAAGCAAGACCCTGTCTCAAAAAGATATTAAAGAAAGAAAAGCTTACATTTTGATTAGCCATACCCAGATCTCATTCTTACTTGGTATTCTTTCAAGATCTTGAAATAAGAACTTCCCATTTGTGACCACAACCTCCATCTCGTCTGCAAATATTAGTCTGTTTTTAACCTCATTTTGACCTCTTGTGTCCCCCAGCTTTGTTTTTCTGGATTGGCAGACCCTTACATTTGTTTTCTGGGGTTCTGTCAGCTGTTACAGTGTTGTCCTCTGAAGAAAATTGTAGGTGGTTTTTCCTTTAACCTTTTGTCCTGTCTACTTCCCAAGCTCCAGTCATCTTTTTTTATTTTTATGTGTTTAGATTTCTAAACATTATTGGGGGAAGTTCTCAAATAAGGCCATTAATATTTTAAGTCAGCTATCTCATGTAATGCAGGCCTCAGAGCATCCCTAAAGAAATATTATGTTACCTATTTTATAGATGGTGGAACTGGTATTCAAAGAGGTTTAGTGATACAGGAAAGGACATTTGGCTGATGTTGAGAGATTTGGTGTTTAAACCCAGTAGGTTTGTCTACCAAAGCCTGTCCTCTGCATTCTTTTGGCCTTGTTCCCAATTTTTTGCTCCCATTTTCTCTCCTTCATTTCTTATTGGCTATATGATACATTCAGATCTTTTCTGCTCTCCTTAAACCTTGAACCTAAGCTATAGTAAATAATTTAAGCTACTAATTTATTGAAATAATTGAAGGCATTCAGCAGCGTCTCTTTTTTTTTAATTTTAAAGAGTAGAAGAAGGATAACATAATAAGTGGGGAGGCTTACAAATTACAGACAAAGTGGTAGGAAATTGTCAATGGTTATTGTTTTACGTATTGTTATCTACAAGATAGTTTCTCAGGAAAACAAATAGACAAATAATAGTGAGTTACAGACAAAAGAGGTAGGAGATTATCTATAGTTGTACTATACTTTGGTATCTTCAAAGTGGCTTCTAAAGAAAATAAATAGAGCTATACATAAGTGACCTATTGAATAATCACTAATTATTCTCAGTGGTTGTTGTAGGGAACATGTAATAATAAACATGCATCCATTTACGAAATAGGATAGGAACAATACAAACATTACAGTTATGGAGAGATTAGTAGGAAAATATCAATGGCTGCTGTAATACGTGGTGGTATCTTCAAAGTGGTTTCTCAGGAAGACAGAGATACGCAAGAAGTATCTAACAAGTAGTTACAGCCTAAGGGTTGTGAAAAATAGCATATTACCTCCTCACCAGTGACTCCTGTCACTGAGGTGTGACAGCTGGAAGGAAGGCCAGGATTGAAAAGAAGGACCGAGAGACTTGCACCTGTGTCTAGCAACAGGCTGTTTTCTTGTTCCTCCATAGAGCAGCGTCTCTTTCAGCATTATTTGTTTCATATGTACTCTCACTTCTTTGTCTCCTCATTGCAAGTACATCACACTCCTCTTTGTTAGTGATTCAGTTCTCTCTCTAGGACTTATGACTTATTCTTCCTCTGTTGAGGTTTCCTTTCATACTGATTCTCTTCCTTAAAAAACAAAAACTGAAAAATATCCATTAGATTTATCAATCCTGTGGTAATTGGTGATCTTAGCAAGAGCCATTTCAGAGGAGTAATGGGTGTAGAGTCCAGAAGGCAGAGAGTTGATGACTGAATAAAAGATAATGGAATTAAAAATGATGAGTGCAGACTTCTTTACGTAAAGCTTACAATGATAAGGGCTGGTGGCCTTTATGATTGAAGGACAGGGCTGGGTTTTTGTTCGTTTGTAAAGAAGTAAGGTAGATTTAAGCAGAACAGCTCTTTTTTTTTAAGGGAGGGGTGTGATAATACATGGATAAAACCCCCAAACAAGATTCATAGGGTTAATTTCAACTGCCTTTATCTACTAACTGATGACTGTTTTTTCCCTTTCTTTTCAGGTAGACTTATTTTCTAGGACAGCTTTAGGTTCACTGTAAAAATGAGCATAAGGTAGACAGAATCCTCACAGTATTTTTCCTATCCTCATGGATTTATTAGGTGTTCCTTTTTATATCTGGCATGAGAGTGTGTGTGTGTGTGTGTGTGTGTGTGTGTGTATGTGTGTTTTACATTTGGAAGAATATTTCTCCTTTTTTAATATCATGATGACCAAATGAGATTTCTGGTATTGAATGGCCAAACTGTTCTTAGAGTTAAATTAAATCACTCAATCTACATATGAGGTGTGATCACAGTATACATACTATAAATGTTTAAGTTTATAAAAAAAATTTATTACAGTAAGACACACTGTCATTAATCTCCCTCAAAACATTCCTTGCTGTGCACATACTTACCCAATCGTCTTTGCCACTTTCTGAAGCAGTTCTGGAAGTCCTTTTCGGTAAGTGTCTTTGCAAGGTATTAGTGAACATAGTGAATGAGCCAGGTGTAGTGGTGCATGCCTGTAATCCCAGCACTGGGGAGACTAAAACAGGAGGATCACTGCGAGTTTGAGTCCAGCCTGGGGTACAATGTGAGTTCAAGGCTAGCCTGAACTACATAGCAAGACCTTGTCTCCAAAAACAAACAGATAAAAAAAAAAAATAAATGCTGCCGAGTACCATCCAATGGAAAGGCAGGCTTATAAAAACACTATAATGTGTCCTTGTCTACCTTATTCACTGGACCTGGTAATGTGTGACCTCTGGCTGTTCCCCAAAGTCAAATGACATGAAAGGTAAATGTTTTGAATTGGTTTGGAACATTGAGGCAGCCATCACAGTGCAACTAAAGATGCTCAAGAAAGAGGACTTCCCAAAGCTGCTTCAGAAAATGGCAAGAACAATGGAATAAGTGTTTTTGAAGTGGAAGTATGAGGGGAATGAATGGAAATGTGTCTTTTGCTTAATGGATTTTTCTTTCAATTTAAGCATTCACCGTATTTTTTTATCATACCTCCTAGTTCACACTCACAGTACAATGTAACTTTCTAAGAAATCAAGATAAAGATACTGACTGTATAAGAGTATTATGAATATACTGTAAGCTGCCCTCAAGGAGCTTGTAGCCTACATGAGAAACTAGACTTAAACATATTGAAAAGTAAAACATTTAGATAATGTAGAGCATAAAGGAATATATGATTAATTAACCATATAGACAGTAACGATTTTGGAATTTATGGGGAACAGAATGATCTACTTTTATTCAGGTTAGTCAACAAAACTTTTTTAGGTGTGTGGCACTTAGTTCTGAAAATAAATACATTTGAAATGAGACATTATAATAAACTTTATCGAGGAGTTTCACAGTACTTTGTCCTTTTTTTTTTTTTTAAGGCAAATATCCTTATTGGAATTGGTCTCTTTTAATTATATTTTCTATCTAATATAATTAACAAAAACATTTGAAAGCATTTGACCTGTCAGTTGCCTTCAATTTTCTATTTCTATTTTTTTTGTCACAGACAACCTGATTTTCAGCTGCTAAAGGAAGGACAAAGGTATGGTTGAATCAGTATCACTTACCTTCTATATAGTATTCATGTTAATAGAAACATTATGAGTGTCCTAGGTGATATGAGCTCTTAGACTTTCTGTGCTGATACATTATAAGTGCCCTATTCTGGCTCATAGAAAGAAATATTTGATGTGTTCAGCTTTTTCTTTTGTGATGGTAAAATGATGTATTTGATCTGTGTGATTTATCGTACAGCTGTTCCTACTGTGGAAGTCTAATTGAACCTGTTGAAATATGACCCAAACAAAGCCTCCATCTCAGATTCTGTGTTTCTTTGTCAGTTAGATTGTGTCAATTACATTTGTTGAAAGGCTTTTATGGTCTTATTTTATAGGAGTTCAAGACATTATTGTATCGGTTATTTAATTATTTGAAAGAACGTCTAAAGCATTAATATAAATCCCAGGTTGTGATTTTTTTCCTAAACCCTCCTCATAGTATTCTTTGCCCAGCCTTGGCTGTCAAAATACCTCCTTTAACTCTTACAATAAATGTTCCTAATTATTAGCCACTACCTTAGGTACATAATATGTACCACAGAAAGACATTTATTTATTGATGCATCTCTTTAATTTATAGCTTCAACCTCAAAATGGAAAAATAAAATTGCCTTAAAATTCTAAGAGAAAGTATGAAATATATGAAAGTTGAATTGTTCTGATTTTTAAAATTATGCTTACTTTTCTTTTTATCTGGTGGTTCTCTATTTGGTTAGATTCTAACTTAAAAAAAATCATATCTAATACTGAAAAAGTGTGTCATCTTTTCTCCATTCCCATCTCCAACCTTGCTTTCAGCTTTTTTCCCCTGTTTTTTTTATTTTATACTTCCCCACAGCGTGTTTCTTGGCCTAGAAACTTCCCCATCTCAGTGTTTCATAGTCCTGATATGTGTGTTTGTGTGAGAGCTACTGCTTACCTGTCCTTAATTTGTCTTAGGTTGAATTGCCAAAGCTGCTCCATTCTTTCCCTTCGCTCTTTCATAATTCTTAACCTTATTCAAATCTAAAATTTAAAAACATAGTCAGAGGAACAACTGTTGTCTTTTATTGTTCGCATTCCATTGGAACTCAGAAATGTTTCAAATGTAAATGTCTTTCATTGGAAAATGTTAGCTTGCCAATTTTATTTTCTGTTATGACTTTGTGTTTTTCATTCTGTGGAATTTTCTGTGTGAATCTCAGCCAGAATTAGAAAATGTTTACTCATCTGTCTTAATCTTTCAAACTTTAACAGAGTTTGAAAGATGTGTGTTTTGAAAAGCCAGTAATGAAATTTTCAAAAGATGAGCTTTTTAAAAATGTTTATATAAAGCAGTCACAGAAACAATAGACAAAAGCCAGAATAACTCTAGAATAGCATTATTAAAGTTTTGTTGTTCTTATTTTGCTTTAACTATTTAAAAAATAATTGGAGGGGAATGGGTAAAAGGAAGAAAGATAAAAGAAGTATATCAAACATATATTAGATATAGAAAAACTATAGCCTTCTTTTAAAATGTATATATCAGCACTTATAAATAAGAGTGTGCCTAGGGAATAAAATTCCTACCTTAAAGGTTACAAATTATAAATAACCTTGGGACATTTTGCTTTCCTGAGATAGTTACCATGTTTATCTTTTGTTTTGCAGTGGTCATTCTGGAGAAGAAGTACAATTATGCAGTAAAGCCATTAAAACATCAGATATTGATAATCCTGATCATTTTGAAAAGCAATCTGAATCTAGTTCTTCTAGCACTTGTAGTGATAGTAGCAGCGATAGTGAACAAGACTTCGTTTCCTCTATTCTACCAGGAAACAGACCAAATACAACGGGTACAGGGTCACAGCTGCGCAAGAGCATAATGAAAAAGAAAGCTGGTCAAAAAACTAAGTCCACACTCAAAGACAAAGAACAGACAGTAGTAGAAGTCACTGAGCAGCTAGGCAGTTGCAAATTAGATGATCAGAAGAAAGCTGCTGCTTGTGAACTTCCCTTTCAGAAAGTAAATACTCAGATTTCTTCAAAAAGTCCACGTGAAAGATTAAAAGCTTCAGGACATTTTGAAAACAAATGTAATATGTCAGAAATAACTCTGGTAGGTATAAGTAAGAAAAGTGCTGAGCATTTTAAGAAGAAATTTGCCAAATCAAACCAAGTTTCCAGTTCAGGGCAGATGTGTCCTGAAGTTGCAAAGACAAACTTACTTAAAGTTCTAAGGGAGACTTTGATTGAATGGAAGACAGAAGAAACCTTGAGGTTTTTGTATGGCCAAAAGTACGCTTCCATATTTCTGAAATCATCTTCAGTCTGTCCAGCTAATGAAGAACTTGATGAAGATGACATAAACTCCGATTCAGATAATCACTCCCTTGCCTTCAGGGGACCTCAGAATAGCCTGGATGAGTCTTTACCTTTCAGAGGCTCAGATACAGCCATTAAGACCCTACCAAGTTATGAGTCTTTGAAAAAAGAAACTGAAACATTCAATCTGAGGATCAGGGAATTTTATCGAGGACAGTATGTTTTGAATGAAGACATTACCAAATCACAAGACTCAGAAGAGGTATGTCAATGAGATTTTCTGAGTTGCTAGCATTTGGAAAATTCATCATAACAGATGGTGGTGCTGGAGCAAGTGTATTAAATGTTAAATTTTCATAAAGCTTCTTTAGTAATTCTGTCCTTGGTTTAAAATACCATCTTCACTATTGGCATTATGATTTTATAATTATGTTGAAGTTTGTTCCTAGTAAGCTTTCACAAGTATGTAATATATAATATTTTTCTCTGGTGAGAGTAGACTAGAAAGGTGGAATATATTTTCTTAAAACCCATTTGTATAATAAGCATACTGTATGAAGAGGCTTTTTCATTGTTACAGTTTCTTCAGATTACTACTTGGGGTGTTTGTGTTTTATTTCCAATGTGACTATATGCAGTAGAATAGACTTACTAGTTGAATAGTAAAGTATTCGTCTTTAGATAATATATGGCAACCATGTGCATTTAATATATTAGAGATGAAATAATATAGTAAAGGAGACTTACTGGGAAAATAGTGGATATAAAGAATGGAAAGTGCATTCAGATTTAGATTTACTTGTTCTATGAAAAGTTAGTTTCTTGAGCCTGTTTCCTCATCTGTAAATGGGACTGTTAATAGCTTCCCCTGCTCAGTTGTTTTAGAAATAATATATGTAAGGCACTTATCACAGTGGATGATATATGATTGGTATTCAGTAAATAGTCATTATATGTAGAAACTGAATGTATGCCACTAATATTTAGGAAAACTTTTTAGTATTTCTAGTTCCCAGTGTGATTGATAGGTATTATCTGGGAAATGAAATCATTTGGTGTGAGGAAGAACAGGTAATAACTGTTTTTGCCGCAAAAGTTTGCTACTAAAGGCTTCTGAATAAGCATGGCCCTAAATTTAAAAATATATTTGAAGATCTGAAAAGAGAAGAGAAGAGGAAATATGGTAAAACTTCAAAAATTTTTAGTCAGGCATGGTGACACATGCTTGTAATCCCAGTACTCAGGAGGCTGAGACAGAAGGATCACTGCAAATTCAAGTTTAAGGCCATCCTGGGCTAAATAGTGAGTTCAAAGCCAGCCTGAATTACGTAGCAAGACCCTATCTCAGAAAAAGAAAGGAAAAGGAATTTATTTCTATATAATTTTTTCCTAGCCTGGTACCTATTGAATGCACATTAACTATATTACTAGACAGCATCCAAAACTTATATTAAGCTGGTGATCAGTAGTGTCTCACACCAAGTTCCATAAGCCTACCATTTGTAGGTTCTTCACTTGTAAGAAAAGGGAGAGAGTAATACCTGAAATTTATTTCTTTTCTTTTGTTGCATAATATTTTTTAAGTTTTCATTGAAATATAAGTGAGAATACAGCTCATTAAAAATTCAGATATGAATACACCTGTGTAGCCAAGACCAAGAAACAGATCATTACAAGTAAACTAGATATCCACTAACATCTGTTCTTATCACTCTAACATTAATAACTATTATAATAACAAATTAGTTTTTGCTAGTTTTTGAACACCATGTATTGTTAGGTATCCATTTTATCTTATGCAGTGTCATGTTTGTGAGTCATTTGTGTTGTTGTATGTAGCTATAGTTCATTCTTTTGTTGCTGTAATAGTTCATTATATGAAGATAGTAGTCCCCTCATCCTTGAGGGATATGTTCTGTGACTCCCAGTGAATGCTTGAAGCCAGGGAGAGTACCAAATTCTGTGTGTTTTTTCCTAAACATATACACCAGGGGTGGCACTAATGCAGCAGGCTGTTCATATCATTGAAAGCTCTAAAATATTTGCCATCATTGATACACACCTGCAATAAGGTTAGTTTAGAAATTGGCAAAGTAAGAGATTGACAACAAAAACAATAGAACACTTGTAACTATACAAAAAGTTGAATGTAGTGTTTCTCAAAATAAAAGTTGAATGTAGTGTTTCTCAAAATATTTTACCATAGTCACCTTTCTTGTCATACTCAGGGATGGTACAGGGCCTATCGGATATATGAAGTGAGGTGAATGATGTAGACCTTATAATGTAATGTTAAGCGCTATTCACTTCCTGATGATATGTCCAGATAATCTTCTGCTTCAGGTGATCCTGGATCATCAAGCAATGATAACATCAGTCATTAAATGTCAGTAACAGGTGATATCAATCATTGGGGATCTTTGATAGTTGAAGCCATACTTTGCTGAAACCTTTTGAAAACACTGTGAGCCTTCAGCAGTGATCAAGTGACTTTAATGGTGTGTTCCATCCAAGGATTATGTTCTGTAATTTTACCTTCTCATATCTGTGATTTGAAACACTTGAGCAAGTTTGAGTAGTGGCAGTATTGCTGATTGCTTCAGCATCTTCATCTTCCACTTCCACTGTAGATGACTCAGAAAGTTCTTCCAGTTCCTTACTTGCTTATACTTCTTAATAGCCTTCATTAAGTTTCCCCTTCATCAAACATGTTGGTAAATCTTTCTCCAGGAAATTGCATGATTTCCCTAATTTGTCCATCAAATCTCAAGAAGCCTTTAAAATCATTATGCCTGCACTCCATAAGTTCTTCCAGGAGGCATTTACAGTTTCTGGTTTCAACTCATCCATTGCAGCTTTGGTAGATTTTACTGTGTCAGCAATAGCAAATGACTTCTAGCACTATCATTAAGTCTATATTAGGCTCTGCCTCTTACTGATCAAATAGCTGATGGGGATATATGGCCTTAGTAAACCAAGTAATATCTGACAAAGGGGCTGAGATCAGAAGGTTGTATTTGAAGATAAAAACACAACTTTGACACATGCACTTTCATAGCTAACAGATTCGGGACAGCCAGGTACATTGCCTTTTATTAAATCAGACTTTAATTCTGACCCTTCCTCGTCTGAATATTTTTACATTTCTGGGATAAAGCATCAGTAGAACCATTCCACAGACAAGATGGCTGTCACCTCCACTTTCTGGTTATGCTGCTAGAACAAGGGCAGAGAAAGTTTGCTTTCTTTTTGAGAATGCATGAGTTCTTACTGCTTGATTTACATGTCCTAGTTGCCATATACCAGAGTTAATCTGTCCTTCCATATTTTATATGCTGCTGCCACCTTTGCGCTTTTATGAATGTAGGTTCTGTTGGACATCATCGTCTGTGAGAGCCCAGTAGCATCACAGTTGAAGACTCGTTTTGAATGATGTCTTTTCTCCTTAATCGATTCTGGCCGAAATGTGGCAGTAGCTTCTTCATTGGCAGATGTATCCTATCCCGTCCAAACCAATTTCTGAATTGGTGTCATGATTCCTTAAAGTAAACAGCTTGGTGTCACTCATTTCAGGTTTCCCTTGCTGAAGTCTTTGTGCAGGCTTAATGTTTTCTGGCACAACAAGTTGCTGTCAGTTGGAACATATTTTCTGTTCATGTCTTCTACCTACAAGTTATAATGTCTTTTCCATCTTTCTTTTTTTTTTTTTTTTTTTTTTTTTTTTTTTCCATCTTAACTTACTAATTACTATGCACTTTGGATGAAGCTTTTGGTGTAGGTTATTTTTCCTTCACAATTTCGTGATTTTATTTTTATTGTAGATCTTAGCAGTTTCCACATACTGTAGTTTTGCTTAAGTCAAGTATTACTATGTTTTCTCTTACAGCAGTTTAAATCTTCCCTTTGGCTTCTCAGAATTGCTAGCATCACTACCTGTGTACTTTAGAGCCATTGCTAAGTAAAATACCTGAGCACAGAATCCATGATAACCACCTCTGTTGATCTGTGGCTACCAAGTGACTAACAGGCTAGAATGGCATATATAAACTGGATATGCTAGATAGAAGGGTGTTTCGCGTCCCCTGGAGACGAAATGGAGCAAGATTTCATCATGCTACTATGAATTTCAAACTTAGTAATTTTTTTATGGGACTTTTCCATTTAATATATTTGGATCATAATTGGCCACAACTAACTGAAACCTCACAAAGTGAGACCCCTGGTAAGGGGAGAATATAATTTATGTTAATAAACAGTTTGTGTGTTTGTTTTCAGGTTGGTGCTATTATAAATAGTGCTATACTCAGCTTTCTTGTCCATGTCTCTGCTAATGTGTATCCAGTTCTGAAGGATATACAGCTAGTACTGTAACTACTGGGTTATAGTATATGCATGTATACAACTATTATTAGATAATGCTTAACAATTTTCAAAAATGGTTGTTTTGCTTTACAGTTGTACTACCACTGTATAAGACTTTACTACCTTGTGACCTTTTGATATTAGTTTTAGCTATTCTGGAAGAATTACTTGGAAGTTACATTATGTTTGTCTTATACGTAATGAATTGAACACTTTTGTGCTCATTGCTTGAAATGTTTGTTTTTTAACCTTTTGGATAGTCTTTTTTTGAAGTACTTCTTCAAGTCTTCTTTCTTTTAGACTGTCTGGGGCTTTTGTCTTAACTGATTTATAAAAATTATTTTTTGTACTAGAGATTGAATCCAGAGGTTCACACTGACCTATATCCTCAGCCCTTATTCTTAATTTTTTAAAAATATTTTTTTATTTTGAGACGGTTTCGTTAAGTTCCCCACACTGGGTGTAAACTGACAGTCCTCCCATCTCAATCCCGCAGAGTGTTGGGCTTACAGGTATGCACCACTGTGCCCAGTGGAAATATTTTAGGTATGCAGTCTTTAAGTCTCTTTGTTTTTGTGGTACTGGGGATTGAACCTAGGGGTGAGCTACTTCCCCAGATATTTTTATTTTTTAGTTCGAGAAAGGTCCTACCAAGTTGGCCAGGCAGGACTTTGAACCTATAAATCTCCTGCCTTAGCCTCCCTCAGTGCTAGGATTATAGGCGTGTGCCACTGTGCTTAGCAATTTTCAAACCCTTTTTTGGCTATATGTTTTTTGGTTTTTGGTTTTGTTTTGTTTTTGTCTTTTTGAGACAGGGTCCTGCTGTGCAAGTCAGGCTGGCCTTGATCTCACTCTGTAGCCCAGGCCAGTCTCAGACTTGCAAGGATCCTTCTGCCTCAG